GTTCTAATTCCATCCTACAATCCACCAAAGTTATTTCCAAATTTATATTTGACAGCCAGAGTGAAGTGAAGAAGACTTCAGAGGTGACCATCTTCATGTTGGTGTGGAGGTTGTCTCCAAACTCTCTCTTGGCTCTTTTATAAAACCTTCGTTGTCAGATGTTTACTCAAGCTAACAGGGCTTCTAGAGTCCTGTGCTTCTAAACTTTCAACACATCCCACCCGCTGTTTTGATTGATGTCCTGATTGTTCTTCTGGAGGAGAACGGGATCGTCTGCCAAGTTAAGCAATACCCTTGCTTCCTCTGTGATTACCACTCAGGCACTTGGAATGAACCTCATGATAGTTCCCTGGGCCTTTTTGGTTAAAAACATTTTGATGGAAAAATTTAGACTTCTACTTTATTATCCTTTTACCAAATGTGCTCTATATAGGTAATATTTACAAATTCTAAACTATTTTTCTTTATAATTAATTTAATATTTTATCTGGCAATCATCTTTGCCTCAAGCTACAATTATCACAACACAGTACCTTCTAAATGTAATTATTTTTACTCATAATGTACTATCACGTTATCTATAACATTTAAAATAATTGTCGCTTATGCCTCCATCCATTAACTGCCTCCGTAACCTCATTCAGGTTATGGAGTCATCCTTACACCTCCTGAAAGTTGCTGAGCTTCAGGTGGCAGGAGACAGAGATGAGACCACAACATATTTCTGAGAAACTCTAGTGCCAAAGTATTTCACAACATTATGGTCACTGCAATCAACTTCTTTCCGTTCCAACTAAGGGAAAAGGCATTTGCCTTAATTTGACCTGAATCTCTCCGTTTATCAACAAGTGATTACTGGCCATGCTCCTTCTGGACCCAAGAAGTTGTCAGTAGCCAAATGGCATTCCAAGTCAAGTGATTTCAATTCAGGGTTTTCATTGCAGGAGACATTTTCTTATATTTCATTGAAATAATTGTTTAGGATCCTGATGATAAACCAGAGAAAGAACTCAAGGGAAGACTTCATAAAATACTTACACTGCTCCAATAGACTGGGCAACAGTGAAAAAAGAGAACAGAAACTCCTGATGTCACCTTCTTTGGCTAATACATATGCTATTACAATATATGTAATTGGAAGTTTCTTTATTCATTTACTTTTTAATCCAGTACTGGTGTCTTGAGTCCCTGCTCTACTGTTTGACACTATGTTAAATTTTCAATGTACCATGAAGTACAAGACACTTCAAGGAACCCAAAGTTTATGTGAAAGGACTTCCTGAGACTTGAGTTTCAAACGTGGGCTCCTGGGATGCATCCTCATTAATTTCTATTCAGTAGAAGTGGTCAGGACTCAAGCATCTATATCTTCAAAAAGCACTGAGGTTGTGCTCACTTTGGCAGCACACATACTAAAATTGGAACAAGTCAGAGAAGACAGTCATGGCCCCTGCACAAGGAAATATTTATTTCTTAAAAAGCCCTCAGGTTACTGTAAAGCAGATTTACAGGAACCATCCCCTGAGCAGCAATGATTTAATGGGAAATATAGACCTCTAGGCAATGACAATAAAATATAAATTCTAAGGTAAGGGTACACATGGAGTACTACAGGATATAACAGTACCATGTAGCAAACATTTAAGATAAAGGAAAAAAATTAAGAATTTTAAGTCTTTCCATCATGTCTCAATTTTTACTGAGGCTTTCTACCATAATAACTGATGAGCAATATAATATATTTTATTATCTATTATACGTGTTTTGCCAAAAATGTGAACATACTAAGGAAAGGGAAAAATCAAGGAAAAGATAGAGGAAGAATCCAGTCTGGGGTAAATCATGCCCAGAAAACAGGAGAAAGTTCCTGCATAAGGGCTTCATGATTTGGAATAAGTGAGTAAGAACCAAAGTCAATAGAAAGAGCATTCACTACATTAATCAGGAGAAAAGAGAAATAACCAAACTAAGCTCAATCAGAAATGAAAAAGAAGACATTACACCTGATAACACAGAAATACAAAACATCACCCATGAATAGTACAAAAATCTCTACACAAACTAGAAAACATGTAGGAAATGGACAAATTCCTGGAAACGCCACAACCTCCCAAGAGTTAATCAACAAGAAACAGAACTCGGGCAGTGCCTGTGGCTCAAAGGAGTAGGGTGCCGGCCCCATATGCTGGAGGTGACAGGTTCAAACCCAGGCCCAGCCAAAAACTGCAAAAAAAAAAAAAAAAAAAAAAGAAGAAGAAACAGAACTCTTAAACAGATCACAAAAGTGGTCACATCACAGTAGTAGCTAATACCTCACAACAACAACAGAAAGGCCCTGGACCAGGTGAATTCACAGCCAAATTCTACCAGAACAACAAAGAAGAGTCAGTACCTGCACTGCAGAGATTATTCCATTATATGGAGGAGGGAATTCTCCCCACTTTAGTCTATGAAGCCAGGTATCACCTTGATACCAAAGCCAGGATGGACACAACAAGGAAATCTATAGACTGATATCCCTGGTGGACATATATGCATAAACCCTCAATAAAATAACCAAACCAAATAACTAGGACAAACCAAATAACAACAATAACAAACCAAATTCAACAGCACATCAAGAATATTATCCACCATGACCAAGTGGATTTCATCTCAAGGATGCAAGGATGGTTCAACATACATAAGTCAGTAAATGTGATTCATCACATAAACAAGGACCATATAATCATCTCAATAGATGCAGAAAAAGCATTTGACAAAATCCAGCATCCTTTCATGATAAGAAGCCTCAACCAACTAGGCATACAAGGAACATACCTCAAAATTACAAAAGCCATATAATACACACCCACAGCCAATATCACGCTGAAAGGGGAAAAGCTGAAAACATTTCTGGTAAGAATTTGAGGAAAACAAGGGTGCCCACTGTTGCTAATTCTTTCCAACATAGTGCTGTATGTCCTAGTCAGAGCAACCAGGCAAGAGAAGGATAGAAAATGAACCCAACTCAGAAAAGAGGAAGTCAAATTGTCACTTTTCACTGAGCTTACACTTAGAAAACCCCAACAACTCCATCGAGGGAATCCTGGAATTGATAAATAAATTCAGCAAAGTCTCAGGTTACAAAATCAACATAAATAAATCAGTAGCATTTCTAAATACTAATAGCAGTCAAGATGAGAGTCAAATCAAAGACCCAACCATTCACACTAGCTACACAGAAAATAAAATACCTAGGCATATACTTAACTAAGGAGGTAAGAGATCTCTATGAGGATGACTATAAAACATGAGGAAAGAAATTGCAAATTGCAGAGAGCACAAACAAGTGAAAAAACACACCACATATTGGTAGAATCAACCTTGTTAAAATGTCCATACTATGAGAAGTGAGTTGCAGATTCAATGCAATCCCCATTAAAATGCCCATGTCATATTTCACAGATCTACAAAAACTAAATCCATGCTTTGTTTGGAACCAGAAAAGAGCCTGAATAGCCAAAGAAATCTTAAGCAGAAAGAACAAATCAGGAGGCATCGCATTACCAGACTTAAAATTATACTATAAAGCTATCATCATCCAAACAGCATGGTATTGCTACAAAAATAGACATCAACCAATCAAAACAGAATAAAGATCCCAGACAGAAAACCACCTTCCTATAGCAAACTGATCTTTGACAAAGCAGAAAATACACACTGGGGGAAAAAGTCTTACCAGCAAAGGATGCTGGGAAAACTGGATAGCCACATGCAGAAGAATGAAACAGGTCCCCTATCTCTTACCACTCACAAAAATGAATTCAAGATGGATAAGACTGAAGGTAAGACATGGAAACTTAAGATGCTAGAGGGAAACACAGGACAAACTCTTTTAGATACGGGTCTAGGATCAGCATTACGGAATCTGAATACATGAAGCCTTCCAAATTATTTCAAAATCAGAGTACTGCAGGGCACAGATTAATTGATTGTAGGTACAAACTTCAGCAAGGGGACAGAGTATACTGAAAAACAGATCAATCATTTTAAAGACGTCCACACACAATGAAGCATGATACAGATTAAGAGTGGGGAAAAAATGTGTCCCATTTTGAAATCATGTTTAATGCTTAACGACATTGAGCATTAGTGACATGGTGTTAAATTAGTACTCAGATATACAGACAGTGTGAATGGCAAGTAAATGATTAAAGCTCTGGACAAGAAGCATACTCTTGAAGGAATTAGGTCAGTGAAGGTTACTAAAGCCTGCGCCATGTAAGGGTGGAGTGGTGTCATGGTAAACATTTGTCTCCTTTGTTGCCCAAATATATTTTGGAGCCCACATCAAACAAAATGGGTATTTCAAAAGACCAGCTAAGACCAGAAGTAGGTAAAGTTAGTGATTATGCAAATTTGAACCTTTGCTTTCCAGAGGTTAAAAAGAAAAAAATTCAGCACCTGTGTCTCTTTACTCCGTTTTAGGCTCAAATGGTTTAACTAAGACTAAGACTACATTTTTACTTTTAAAATACCAGTGCTCACATACCTAAAACTCACAATTGGTTTTGTTTTATTGATAGGTTTTGATTTAACTTTTGTTTTTAGGAAAAAGGAATGTACAATTTGGTATTTGGTGACAAATATTTACAAAGTTATGATAGGATATAATCAAAAAGTTTTTAACCACCTGAATTAGCCTTTCCCCTCAGACGTATTGAGATATAACTGACAAATAAAAACTGTATCTATTTAGGCTGAATAATACTGAGCGTCCAGCTCCACATGGTTCTGGCTTGTCTATTCAGGTCTGTTCAGGTCCTTTGCCTATTTTTAATCAGGCAGTTTTCTTGCTGTAGAGCTATTTGAGTTCTTATATATTTTGAATTTTAACCCCTAATAGAAATGGTATAAAAATATTTTCTCCAGTTCTGCAAGTTGTCTGTTTGCCTTGTTGATTGCTTGCTGTGGCATGCAGAAGCTTTTTAGTTTGATGCAATCTAATGTTTTTTAATTTTTGCTTTTGTTGCCCTCATTTTGGGAATCATATCCAAGAAATCATTGCTGAGACCAATGTCAAGAAGCTTCTTTCCTATGTTTTCTTCTAGTAGTTTTATAGTTCCTGATCTTACGTTTAACTCTTTAACCCATTTTGAGTGATTTTTGTCATGTGGTATGGTGTACACAGATTCAGTTTTATTCTTTTCTATGTGAATATTGTGTCCTGACACCATTTGTTGAAGAGACTGTCTTTTCCCTCACCTGTGGTTCCTGGCAACTGTTGAATATTAATTGACTTTAAATGTGTGGCTTCATTTCTGGGCTCTCTATTCCACTTGCCAGGTTGATATATCTGTTTCTAAGCCAGTATTATGCCATTTTGATTCCTTAGTATCAGGAAAGGTAGGGGTGGATTTGTCCTTTGTAATTCTGGACAATTACAGTAGCACCCTGCAGTTGGAAACTGGGAGGAAAATGGGACGAGGGCCACACAGAGCATTGTCCCGAGGGCGCAGAGTGAGAGGGCTTCTGAGAAAGCAGTGAATTCTGTCTGTGGTGAGCATTTCATTACGGTTTGGAAACATTGTTGAGGAGATTGAATCATTGGAGGGATCAGGTTTTTATTTTGTTTCTTTGTTTGTTCATTTCTATGAATAAGGATTGTGCACTATGCCATCCACATGAAAAGTTTAATAGGAAAAAAATGTTTTCAAAATGTTAGTTCCCTCTATTTAGTTGAAAGGGCAAAAGTACCACAAAGCTAGTTATTCAGCTTATTATAACATATTTGTCTCTTGCAATTATGAATGCTGGATAATTTCACATAAGAAGTGGCTCTTGGTTTTATGGAAATTCTGGCTGTGTGGCTTTGTTGCTTATTAGCTGCAACCTGTTAAAATTCAACTGAGGGTCATAAATGGAAACAGAGAAGCAGGTGCTGGGGCAAGTGTCAGGCTGAGAAGGGGTTTCTGAAGATGAACAAGGCCAAGGGCAGACCTCGCTTCTTATCCATTGTAGAAAAGAGGTAGTATCCCCTGGAGTTGTATGAAAAAGAAAATCAGTTAGTGAGAAATTTCAAAGGTCACCTGCCATGTCCTTCACTACCAGAAAGACACATAATTTTTCAAAGCATTGAATTGAAAATTTAGTGGATATTCTCAGTATCTTAAAAAAGATAATTTACTAAATTTAGTGAATTACTAGTTACTTTTCTCATTAGGCTTATCCTATATTGCAGTGTGATAATTTTGGGTTCACTGCTTTAAAAACATAACAGGGATAATTCCTTTTGTTTATACACAACCTAATGAAACTTTTAAATATTAAAAATAACTCAGTGGTTCGAGGCCTGTTTCACTTTTGTTTGAGAAACACCTGATTTCACATACGTATTTATAGATGTACATGTATATGTGTTTACAAAACATTGTTAAATAATATCACAAGACAGTCACAGGTGTTTCTTGAGCCGTGTGTGGGTGCGTGATGCAGAAGAGAGTATCAAACAC